CCTGAGCAACAACGAAAATGTAAATTTTATAATTTTTTCACTTAATGTTCGTGGAATTAGATTGCTTGAAAAAAGAAAAGCTCTCTTTATTTCGTTAAATAAACAGAGAGCAGACATCATTTTTTTCTACAGGGAAGCGAACTTTTTAAGACGCTTGTGGAAGAAATATGTCCAAAACAATAAACCTGGCAGCCGGATTTCATAAGCGTAATTTTGAGCTTCTAAATATCAAACAAATAGCCTTTTAATAAATCTTTGATTTGACACAACAATCAATTTTTGTTTTCGTTAGTATCCTTTTTCGCTAATTCGTTTAGTGTGATAGGTGATAATTGGTATTAGTAGGTAATATTGTCTTTAATTTGTGAAATAATTTTATTTCCATTTAACGTTATTATTATTTTTTCTTCTTCTTTCTTCCTTGAGTATAGTTAAGGTGTATGGTTATTGTAGTAGAGTTAATGGTACAGTTATGTAAACAAAGTTTAGCCAGTGTTTAACAAAACTGCGTTCTAAATAATTAGCCATTTTGAGTTTGCCGAACGCTTTAACGTAGACATCATTTATCGTGACCAGTTTCATGAAAGCATTAAGCGTAGACTGGAAAAGCATTTGTTTTCTTAAAAAAAACCCATTGATTAAGATATCTGAAGGACAAACGATTTCTTAAACCGCAGTTTAAAGTGGACTTCGTTTGAATAATCGACTAAATGTGTTGAAATTCTCTGTAAAATAGTTTTTGTCATACACATCCCCATTCAATAAAATACAAAAAAAAAAACAAGGTAGGTAAGTTAACCCGCCTGTCCATATAATCTCTCATCTTAATCTGATCTTTTTTTTAAAGAGTTTATTTCATACGCTCTTTTTATTACATGCTATTCTGTGATTCCAATTTCATTAATTTGCCTGTCAGTAAGGGACGAGGTTTATGTTTTTACTAGGCAGTTGTTTTTAATCGCACCTTAGTGATTTTTCTATTTCTCATTTTGGTTTGTTGTTTTTTAAAAGGAATTTAGGCTCTAATAGACTGCAGCGTTTACCAAAAATCATTTTAAAAAACCACAGTACTTTGCAGGAACTGTAAGTATTAAAGCATCCTCCGATTTATTATACCTGCTCGCAATCCCACCATCACTCAACTGAGAAAGCAATCCACTTAAGATTTGCAAAACAGGTCTCTTTTTTTGTATTTTGATAAACTTGAATTTCATTTTTAAATAATTTCATGTAGTCCAATGTTTTGCACAGTAAACACCAAAAAATACAAAACAATTTAAAACTAGACAACTATACATCACACACACTCGTGACATTGCTTATACACACACCCCAGAACATTTTTCCTTTGTTTACATATAAAATAGTATAATACAGATATGCGGCGACAGAATCGTGTTCTCATATGATCTGTATTGCCCCATTTTATATTGTGGGTTATCGTCTGATTTAACAATCATTGTCACGATTAGAGTCTACAACATACCCTTACTTGTGCTAAATCTATAGCCTGCGTAGCTCGCGGGATTAGCGTGGGAGTGCTGTATTGTTTTGGCGGCGGAGCCGCGAGAAAAGTGGGTATTCAAGTCAATTTGAAGTCCCGCCTGCCACAATTCTTGGGTATTTTGAATAGTCCGCAGCCAGGCTTACGGGAGTTTCTAATTGGCTGAGAAGCGATAAAACGCCAATCAAATGATAATTGCTATCCCTACTATCTCCCAAGGGAAACTTAGTGCGTACATGTGGAAATGAATCAAATCGAGCAAGCTATAAACCGGCTCCAGTCCACTCCACAATTGTTGCTTTTCACATGACGTCACTAAAATTCAAACTAAAAAACTTTTGATCCTACCGAGATTTTACTTTCACGATGCAATAGAGCAGCTGAAAACTAATTTTCATACAAATTTTCGCTTCTTGGTTTTGTGATAGAGTGTGCTTGAATTTCTAGTAAGCCTTTGCGTGCCGTGGCATTTACATGACGGCCCAGAGAGCTGTCATGTAGGTTAAAAAAATGACTTCTTTCAGGAAATTTTGCTAACTAAACAGTTCATGTATTAGAAAAAGTATTACTTTAATGTTTATGAGTTTCTCGAAGAATAAATTCACGCTTTTGTAGCAAAACTCGGTAACAGGTGTTTCTGTTGGTTTCCGTTCGCCATGTTTGAGCTCATCCAGGTGAGCACCAGCATGGCGTCTCCATACAAATCTCTATAAGTTTGGGTAAAACATTTCTTCGGATATCTCGTATACGAAATATTCCTCTGACCTGAATCTTGGCGAGGGTCTTTGTATATGTACCTCCTTCCATTTCCCAGATTCTGGACTTTATCTATTGAACAGTTTTGATTTTTATTTTGATCTATTTTGAATGGCGTGACACTGAAAACCAGCAATAAAATTTCCGCTTGAAGGAAATCCCCGAAAGACAATTTTTTGGAGGGAACTAGATCTCCAAAAGACACGTCTTCTGCTATCCTTTATATGAAAAGAACCCACGTTACCGTAATCTCTTTTTACGACAGGAAATTGGCTATATAACAAAAGCGCATCAGACAATAATGTCTTTTGTCACGCAGTGGAAACCGCCCTGATCCATCCGAGCCGTGAACATAAAAAGAGCGCGTGATCATTTAAAAAATAGGGGTGGAGTATGCTGTGGAGGATTCTTGTTTTTGACAGAGCAAATGATCTTTGCCGATTGAGAGATCATGAGGCCGATGTGTTTCCTGTGCATTCCAGCATTGATTTCCTGTGGTCTTTGTCTTTGACAGAATTTGACCTCTGAAGCGTTTTAGGGAATTGTTTGACCTCTTTTGGAGTATAAAGCCTTTTATTGCCGCCAAATGGCCGTTTATTAGAGAATTTAGTTTCTCAAGTTTGCAGCATACCCTGCCTGGAGCCTGAATAACTTTCAATAAATAGCTGTTTTGTTCGTCACTTGATTGTTACGCTTGGCCTCGCTCGTTTGCAGGTCGGTTTCGTATTACACAACTCTTCATGATTGGGTAATCAAATTGTTTCAAACAAGGTGACAAAACTGGGTGGCATTCAAAACTCATAAGAAATGTGGCCGGCGTGATTTTCCCTCGCGGCTTCCTCGCCTCGCGTGACGGCTCCGCCGCCAAAACAGTACCACGAGCAAAAGAATCCCGCCAGTTACGCAGGCTACTAAATCTATTGCCTGCAGGGGGCGTAAGCATGTTTTTCGAACTCTTACTTATATACCATTTTTTGCTGTTTTTGCTGAGGTCCCTTAATAATGAACATTTTTAAATTCTTCAGAGATTTTTCTGGCAACGTGATTAAAGAGCTTCACAATGAGACATTCATAAATTTCCTGTCCCTCCTACGACTGTAAGTATTAAATTAGCTTCCTTAGCTTCCAGTGAGTTGGAATTTTCCTCACAGTATATACCTCTGTAAGACTAGCTAGGAAGGGTATTACAGTAGGGAATATTATTGCAGATAAAGGTGCATTTATCAAAAAAATTGAAATTCAGAAGTCTTGAGACAACGGTAAATGATTACAGCATTTGTGGGTCATTTAGTGACAGTTAATGGTCGATAATATACAATGTGATTGTTGTTGTATCCAATGATAATGAGTCGTCTCAAGTCACCTTACCAGGCTTTTTGATCTGTGTACCTGTGCCGGTAATTCGAGGTCTTACACGTTTTCTCACAATGGCTGAGGTCGCTGAGGTTGAAGACGGCGTGGTTATCATTGACTGTGTGGCAATTTTTTCTGAAGAGGGCGAAGGAGGCGAACATCATCGCAACAAGAATAAGTTTATTTGTCGAGTTTCGAGAATTAAAAAACGCCTTGTAAAGTTAAAAGAGAAAATTTGGTAAGTTTGCCACTTACCGGCGCGGCGCGTGAGACAGTCGAGATAGTTGACCCCTAAGAGACTGAGGTGCTAGACTAGACTCACTTATCAAAACTCGCACTAGACGTACGTGGAAAGGGTTTTGGTTGGTTTGTTTTTCGCGCTTTCACGAGTTATTTTTACTGGAGTTAATTAGCTATTGGGTCGACCTACCAAAAGGTTGAACGAATGTAGTTTACTTTTCAGTGATCATTTTAAACTTTGATTACATGAATAGAGTAAATAAAACGAATTGAACATATATAACTTTTTAATACTTCTCCGAGTGCAACCCTAAAAGAGACCTTTACGGCTAAATATAATGGTGTTTTGCCTAGAACACACTAAGCGAGACGAAAATCTAAATTTACACCCCTAAGCGAGACGACGAGCACCCCCGCCCCTATCAAATGGAAGTCCCCCCCCCC